TGTATATTTCATATAATGACTATTATTTTGTGATTATTTAAATTATCTTCGTAAAACAATGTGAAAATCTAACAACAAACTAAAAGATTATTGACAAAATTATTAGTAAATTTAAGTTATCGATTAATCTGGTTTCAAACAGTCCGGACTATGTGAGATATTGAGATTGAGATTTTCAAAGCTGAGTAGATCTGTAATGTATAATAACTGTAGATATTTTTTTGATGATAAGTTTGTTTCTTTACAGTAATTTATTTGCTTGTGCTTTTGTGAATAGATATTGTGATTTCCACATAATATCGCTGTTTGTTTTTCATAGTTGATAGCAAATAGAAGCCGTGTGTAGTCCTGATAATGTAATAGAAATCTTGTAAATGGAATATCTGTTGTTATTGTAATGATTAAATGGGTAGAGAAGAGAAAAATAGGCGACCGCTAAATGGCATTATATTCTGAGGCTCGTGCAAATGCAAATAGCCAGGAAACTACTATCCCCATATAGACATTAGCATTATTATATTTTCAATAATGAACAAAGTCGCGTTTCACACCATATTTTTTCTTTTTTTCGTTAATTTTCATATATATACGTACCTTTTTTTTGTGAAAGCCAACGCCATTAACACGAAAACGGAAAGATCTTTGAATGCCTGCTCTATTTTGGTGCCACAAAATGTAGGATTTTAACACGTCCTCTGTGCAACGCATTCAGATGACACCACAATAGCCATTATGTAATTATGGAAACGTGTACGTATTTATATTGGACATATTCATACGTTAAACGACTTAATTTTTTTTCACACACACACACTGTCGGTTTGTTTGCTTAAAACATTTGTCGGTTTCATGTGTTATTATGTTCGAATTCTCGGTGTGGTCATTTTCAACAATTATCACAAAATATTTATTATAAACGCAATACATGATTTATTTGAAACAAACTTCAATTGTAGTTTTATAAATATCTGTTTTTGTATACGTTTGACAGTGAATTACTTCTAAATGACAAACACTTTTCGAGATATAGACAAAATTGTAAAGACACTGGTTTTTCAAAGCTTAAAAAAAACATTTCTTCAAATTTAACAGTGATTTACGGCTAAATGACACACGATGACTTAATGCATGAATATTTAGCTTTAATTTGGTTATTTAACAATGAATTTGTCGCACATATTTTTCGAGAAATAAGCAAAATTGTAACACTGCTTTTTCGAATATTTAAAAAAACGATTCTTCAAATTTAACAGTGAATTACATCTAAACGATACAACTCTGCCATAATATTTGTTTTAAAGAGTGAATATTTAGCTTTTATTTGATTGCCCAGCAATTAATTTGTCTAGAAATAAGAAAAAAATTGATTTTCAAAGTTTAAAAAATCGTGACTTTTAGTTTGACAGCGAATTACAGCTAAATGACAAACTATATTAAAATACTTGTATATATGTTTTAAGAAGAGTTAATATTTAGCTTTATTTTGGTTAATCAACAGTGAATTTGTCGCTCACAATATTTGTGCTATGAGCAAAAATGTAAAAACACTGAATAAAAAATTCTTTAAATTTGATTGTAAATTATGGCTAAATATCAAACGATATAACTATATCAGTACACTCTTTTTAAAGAATGAATAATTAGCTTTAATTTAGTTACTCAACAATGAAATTATCGCTCATATTGTTGGAGATATAGCAAAAAATGTAAAGACTACTTTTTCAAAGTGATTCTTTAAACGTTTCTTCTTATAAGTTTTGTTTTATTCGAATAAAATAAATATTAAATTATATTTCATAAACTGTATGAGAGAAAACATGGATTATGAAAAAAAGCTTGAAATGAATTTGCGCAAAATTGTGATTGGAAATGTTGGTGGAGGAAAGGCTGGACTGGAAACGGTGAAAACATATTCGAAAACGATGTGAAGTGCGCTACAAAACGCGAATAAAAGAACATTTCTGTTCGCGATAATTGCACATTATTAGTGCAAATGAAGCCGATTATTGCGAACTAATTAATGTTGCGCTACTAACAAGCATCCAACAAAAACACTCGTATGAAAATGCATTTGCATTCGCTCTCATAAATACACGAACACATCCCCATCCATATGGATTCGTTTCATGCAACAGTTGATGCCGATGCTCATCATTCCAATAATTCTAGACAAAAAAAAAAGTAACAAATTGAAAATTAATAATGTTTTGTTTTATTATTATATAATCATTTAAGAATTAGATTAGAAAATATTTTCTTGGAAAAAAGGTAATATTCATTCTTTATATATTATTAGAGGGTTAGACTGAAGTGTACATTTTAATTAGATGACGTGGCAAAAACTATTTACAAATCACTTGAAGTTCTAGCAAAATTAAATTATGAAAAAAACGTAATATTTTATGAAAAATCTGTCTGTAATTATATATAAATAATTATATTAATTATATATAGAGAATAGTTGAAATCTTTAGTAATTATTGATATAGTATTTGTAGTAAATGAATAATGAAATAATAAATGTAAGTAAAGAAAATCAAAATTAATTTTTCAATTAGCGGCAGTATAAAAGGGGAGAAGCAAAAACAAAGGGGCCCCAAAAAGGGTTGTTCGTTCCCTTTCTTTCTCTCTCTCTCTCTCTCTCTCTCTCTCTCTTAAAGAGTGGCAGCCGCTTTTGATTTCAATTAAAAAAAAGGAGTAAAAAGAGAAGGGAGAAGGGCCTTCTCAGCCGACTCGACGAAGGAGAGTAGAAAACAAAGGGCACTGCCTCAATGCAATTTAAGGCGACCCCCGGAAGCCGAAGAGAAACAGAAGCAGAACTGGATGGAGGTTGCCGCCGAGAAAGAGCAGAAAGACAGACGGATCCATTGTCGCCCGAAAAACCCCTTTTTGATACGCAGCTCACACACACTTTCCATTTGACGGATTGCTTTCTGGGGGTTGGTTTTGAAAACAAGGAATAATATTTGATTGTGCTGCATTTCAGGCAGGCAGGCAGTCCACTTTGCGCAATAGGGAAATTAGTCCGGAAAATCGATTACGAAAACGAACTAACATAATTGAATAACGATTTTTAACCCTTAAGTTTTTTTCGTTGCTAGAAATAACACTAATAAAATAGTAATTTATTTCCATTTAGACTATTAGTAAATATTTTTATTTATAATAATACCTGAGAATTCATCAAAACTTTATTAATGAATTAAAACAATAAGATAAATTAATTTGCATATCTTTATAATTAATATAATAAACATATTTTTTAATTAATTGTCTTTAATAAAGATTAATAAGAATTACTGAATTTATATAGCATTCAAAAACATTCGTAGCTTTTTGTTTAGAAATTTGAACGTTTTGATTTACCTGAAATGATTGTTTTACACAATTGAAATATATTTGCGCAAATTTTTTCTAATATATATTCTTACATACGTTAATTTACTGAGATTTGTTTTATCAAAATTTGCGCAAATAGACAAGTACGTATAATTTTTATTAACACAATCAAAACAATATACTTACCAACATTAATTATCATACTGTAAATATCAATATTTTATACGAATAAAATAGTTTTTAAACAAAATTTGGGCAAACTGAATTACTAATCATTGTATATACTCAAAATCTAAAATATTTTCTTAGAAATATGAATTTGTTATTGAAATAAATTATTTTTTATCAAAATTTGCGCAAATAGAGAATTACGTAACACAATCTTAGTACAATCATCAATTATACTATAAATATCAATATTTAATATGAATAGAATATTTATTAAACAAAATTTGCACAAACTTCGTAGAACATTTATTAAACTCAATATACAGTTTGTTATAACAAACTTTAATTATTGTATTACAAATGTCAGTATTATTTTAGTAATATTTGCGCAAACATAGAATAATTTTCAAAACCGTTTTTATTATTACCAAAAACATATAATTTTACCTATAAAGTATAAGAAAAAAAAAATTATGTAAGCTGTTTTTCGCAATTTGTTCTTTTCACCTGAAATAACGATAAAATATACAATACGCTTTATTAGAATTACAAAAAAAAAACAGTTTACATCATATTTTCAGTTTTTAGTGAATTTACCTGAAATCATAATTTATTTTGGTTTCAAATATTGAATATTGAAACCAGAATAACAAAAGTTTTTTTTGATGGCCAAAAGAATTGTATTATTTTATCAATGTTTTGATTTCTTTTCTGCTTTCTCTGATTTGTTTTTTTTTTTTTGTATATTTGTGTTTTCTTTATCATTAATTAAAAAAAATAAATATAGATGAACAACAAAGGTAATCAAGTTTGTTTACTTCAATTACCTGAAATTGAAATCACTTTGTTTTCAATAACAATGAGAAAAATACACTCAAATAAATAAAAATATTTACATTTTAAAATCATGATTTGTAAATTTTATTTAGTAAAGAAAAACAAAAATGGATATTTTGATAAGCTTTACGATTTGGAAATTTTATTTTGGATTTCATACAAAAAAGTGTTGAAACTATAGCAAGAAAAGTTTAGTTTTAAAATAAATATTTTGTATGCAAAAAGAATTTTGTACAGATAAAATTGAAATAGTAATGTTGAAAATTGTATTAAGAATAACGTCAAATAAAATTAAAATATGTTGATAATTCCTATTAATGAAATCTATTATTAATCGATTTAATATTTTCTGATTTATATGTTGGAACCTGGAAATGTGAGGGTATTTGAAAATGTTGTATAACTTTTCAATTATATTGTTTTGGGTTGTGTAAAATAAGAGAAGTAAATTTTTGGGTGTATTGTTGTTTTTTTTTTATTATGTTATATATACAGAAATTCATTTCTTTAGTCAGATATTAACAATTAAATTTATATATTACAATACAACAGATAACTAAAATTCTAATATAATCATTTATATACTCATATACTTAAGGTATGTACATATAATATTTGCTTTATGTATATATTTATATATATTACAAAAGTCTCAGTCCAAAAAAAAAATAATAATGAAAAAAAATAAAATAAAACTAATTATATAAAGTAAAACGAACAAACGAAACCGAATGCGTGAGAATCACAGAGAAAAAAAATTGTACATTTGAGACATGGTAATACGAACACTTATGAACGCGATCAATACATAACGGGCACAGGTCTCCTAATCTCTAAATCACCCGATGAGCTAGGACTTGAACCGGGGCTGGAGCTGGCGGAATACATCATCTGCTGCGGTGATATCGCCGGGTACATGTTCAGAGGTGGAGACGGGAATTGCTTCTGCTGGTTGTGGTAGATCGTGTTCAAGAAGTTGGAGTGCAGCGATGTGACGACGGCACTCTGTCCGCCGGTCGGGCTCTTCTCCGACGGAGGAGCGATGCGGGAGATATCGAAAGCCGGATTGAAGTACGGATAACCGTGCGGTACTTCGAATGATGGGAAGTACGGTGGCATCGGGTTCATTCCCATGTTCATGTTCATATTCATGTTCATGTTCATATTGTGGAACGCGACGTTCGGTTTGATCGTAGGCGGCACCGGACCTTTAGGTTTCCTCCTCGGTCTGTACTTGTAATCGGGATGCTCCTTCATGTGCACTGCTCTCAACCTTTTAGCCTCATCGATGAACGGTCTCTTCTGTTGCTCCGTGAGCAGCTTCCACTCGGCACCCAAACGTTTCGAAATCTCTGAGTTGTGCATCTTCGGATTGTCCAATGCGATCTTCCTGCGCTGTATCCTGGACCAGACCATGAAAGCGTTCATTGGCCTCTTGATGTGTCCTTCACTGGGAACAACCGGGGCCACCACCACACTCGGCGCCGGATGATAATCTTCCAACATACTACCGGGGAAATTGTACATATTAGCCATGTTTCTGTCTAATGTATTTTCCTTTCACCACTTTTATATATATATATAACAAAAAAAATTCAATTCAAGTGTTATACGAGTAGACGTATACTTGCAATTCACTGTATTCTTTTCGAATGATTCTAGATATATATTACTCTTTTTTGTTGCTTTAGCTCTAGGTCACCTTCACAACTAAACTGCCGACTGATGACTGACTATAAGCCTCAAGAGCAGACGATACTAATTCCCTAGTAGGTGGAGCCTTTTAAATACGTTCGGCAGTGGGGATCCCTAAGGACACGCCCTTCGTCCGCACCATTGGTCTCCCCCACCACAGCAACACCCTTTACACATCTCTCCGACGCTTTGTACATGATATTCCTTTATTTTCCTTCTTTTCGTCCTTATTCTTCTTCACTTGCGTTATCCTGTTCACTCGTTCCATTCTTTTATTATATTTCTCCTATACGTATTACTTCTTCTTTCTTTCCTGTATTTTTCATATTATCCGTGCATTCGCTCTGTCCCAGCGTTATGCATAATGTCCTTACCAAGAGAACCACCATATTATACCTGTTTCGAAGTTGTTGCTTCATTGTTACCATTAAAAGTACTCATAATGTATATAATATCCTTATGTTTACATAAGAATGCCATTTCGTTCGTACTTTATATTTATTATGCATCCTCGAAAGCCACCCCATTATTCCAGAAAAATAAGCGGAGGCCGTTCAACCGCACCGGGATTACAAGTTTACTCTCTCTACTTCTTCACTCCTTCAATTAGTATTAAGCCAACATAAATAACGCCGTTTATCGTCGCACAATATTCAATTCCATTACGTAATTCAAACGAGAAAAATAATATAAAAGAACACAACGAGCGTCGGTTTGTTTCCCCCCCTTTTTTTTGTGATAGCTCACTTTAATTTCAAACTCCTCATTGTGCATTAAAATTAATTTTTTTTTTTTGAAAAACAATCCACAGTAAAAAAGTGCCATTGTATTCAATTTTACATCAATTCATTTCAATATTAACTTTTTTAAATTAAAAACAGTTTATATATCAACATTAGATTTACAAAACCCATCAATTTGAAAGTAAAATTTCATAAATTTTACAAAGTAACAAAAATATACATAATTCAATAATTGCAATATTATTTCTGATTTTGAAAATATTGCATAAATAAATTAATGATTTTGCAATTTCTCCAATTATGTGAAAGAAAATGGAAATAGTATGCCTTTTTTTTAATAATAATACGCATTTTTTAACTTTGAAAAAAATATTTAGAATTGATTCTAAAGCAATATAATAATACATTTTTTTAAAAATATTCTTTTAATTTTTTATAATATTTGATCATCTGTAAAATGATAGAGAAAAAGTAGAGAGAGAAACGTCAATTTTCTAACCATAAAATGGTTTTAAAGTCTTTAATTCAATAATACATTTTTTTTTCTCTTAATACAAAATCTATTATTTAATAGAAAAAGTAAAGAAAACCTCAATTTTTAAGCAATGAAATAGGGTGCATCATGTTTTCTTTTAAAGTCTTTCATAGAAGAATACATTTTGTTTTCTAAAAATTGTCTCTTAAAATTGTGATCTTCTGGAAAATGCGATACAAAATTATACTATTTAATAGAGAAAATATAAAGAAAACCTCAATTTTTGAGCATCTTTCACCTTAGAGATGAGTTTTAAATTATTTTGTAGACGTTTTTCTTTCTTTTTAAAATTGTGTCTTAAATTTGGAATATCCGATCTAAAGTGTTATTGTTTAATATAAAAATAGAGGAATGCCAACTTCAAGCCAACTTAGAGAAATTGACCTAAAATTAATATAATGTTTGGTCAAAAAATATTTTTTTATATACATTGATCATTCAAAAATACACCACAGAATATTAATATTTAATAGAAGACATAGATAAAACTTTAATATTCAAGACATAAAATATACTTTTTAATGTAAAAAAAATAACTTATTGTGATTGATTTCATATTTATTCTCTTAATTTTGTGATTGTCCGAAAAATACGATATAAAATTGCTGTTTTCATTCTAAGATTTCAGCGTGAAACATTAACAACAAGTTTCAATTTATTTGAGTTCATATGAAAATCGGGTACTTCGTTTCTGAAGTTATCAGAAATTTATTATAATGTAGAGAAATCCTAAGAATATTACTTATTAACATTTTTTAAATTTAGTAAATGCTTGATCTTCTAAAAAATTTAATATAAAATGTTAATGTTTTGAAAATTTGAATCAGAAAAAATATCTTTAAAAACTGTTGGATTAAGATGCGTTTAATGAAGTCCCTTTGGAAGAGGGTCATCAGAGTAAATTTGTGGGGCGTTCGTTGCGGTCATTCCCTGCATCAATTAGAATTTGCTCTAGGATTCGTAGTGTCCGAAATATTATACAGCGTCCAGGAGGGAGGGTGGTTTCCTGCACCCCTACACCCCGCGCAACACTAGTGCCCTTTTGTCTCGGACAACCCTGTTTACAATAAACCCGAACTGTGGCGAAACAAAAGCTTATTGTGACCGTTACAGTTAACAATGTCACTGCCACAATGAGGGGTTACAATACGCCCGACAAACCCCGTCCAAATTCACACACACACACACACACTCACATAGAGAAACAATATGTACGCATTTTTTTGTTTTGTTTCTATTTTCAATTCTTTCTGATTTTCGAAACAAATATTTCAAACATTTGATTTATTCATGATGATTATCCAGAAATAAAGAGAAAAAAATTCGATTTGTGAATTTTTCACTATTTCCCCAAGCTCAAGTTTCTTTTTTTCATCAATATGAGTTGCGCAGCTTTGTTTTTACGTTTTGGACCGTTTGTTTTTGTAGCAACGGGTTCCAGATTGTGGAGGGATACAAACTGTAGGTCATTCTTTAACCCCTTTTTTTTCCTTTACTGAAGGGTGTAACGATTACAAGAGGTAAAACTCAATGAAGAAAGAAAGAAACGTGATCATCGTCCAGCTAAATAAATACACAATTCATTCAACGAACAATAATATTTGTAACTTATTTATTTTTATGTTATTTTAATTCATGTTTATGTTAATAGGATGAAGATTTATGTGAATTTTTAATATCACACTTTGAAATCTGCAATTACGTAATTGTTACAGTAATATTTGTGTTATTCTTATTTAATTAAATAATTTTAAACAAAACTTTCTAATTTTTTTCTTTCTTTCTTAAAATGATAAAATTGATATATTTTTCAGTATTTTCCTTCTTTCTAATTTGTTATCATTAATTAAATAAATAATCATAACATGTATTCATTTTCATTAATAAATTTATCAATTACAGCACTAATCAAAGACATAATTTTCTGTACTCATATTTTTTACTTTTTTTTTCAATTAAATTTTAATTTGTTTTTAAAAATTGAAACCGTTAATCCGCACTGATCGAAGCCACACTTTATGAGGAAAAACTGCATATCATTTTCTTTAGTAAACTAAATTAATCATGAATGACTTCTTTTCCAATTTTCCTAGTTTTTAATTTTATAAATTAAAATCGGTTATTATTTGTTTTCTCTATAAAATTATTAAAATATTTACTAATTTTATAATAATAAAAATGTATTTATCAATTATAACAATACCTCGCATAGTGCGGTCTACCAAATATTAGCACTGTTTGAATCCGCACTAATCAAGGACTGTAATAACAACATAATTTTTTGTACTCATGTTTTTGACTTTTTTTTCAATTAAATTTTAGTTTGTTTTCAAAATCGTGAATCCGCACAGATTGAAGCCGTACTATTTGAAGAAATGCTGCATTTCATTTTCTTTAGTAAACTAAATTAATCTTTAACGACTTCTTTTCTAATTTTCCTAATTTTTAATTTTAAATCTGTGATTATTTGTTTTCTCTATAAAATCGTTACAATATTTACTAATTTTATAATAATCAAAATGTATTTATCAATTACAGCAATACCTCGCATAGTGCGGACTACCAATGTTTGAACCCGCACTAATCAAAGACTTTAAAACAAAATAATTTTCTTTACTCATCTTTTCGACTTTTTTTTCAATTAAATTTTAGTTTGTTTTCAAAACTTGAAACCGTGAATCCGCACTGATTGAAGCCGCAATATATAAGGAAATGCTGCATTTTAATTTCGTTTACTAAACTAAATTAATCACGTGTGTTTTCTTTTCCAATTTTCTTTAATTTCAGAAATTTAATCTAAATCTGTGATTATTTGTTTTCTTTATAAAATTGTTACAATATTTACTTATTATATAATAATAAAAATTTATTTGTTAAAATATATAGAATTAGTAAATACATCTTTATCTTTATTATTATTACAATCAGTTAGATTTTCTTCAAAGTAAACTAATTGTCTAACAAGTTTCTTCCATCCGTTAAATGCGGATATCTTTAAATTGTGTAATTTTAAGGATTAAGATAAAAATCCCATTACAATTATCGCCTAGATGAAAAGTGTCTGTTTATTTTATTTTATCTAAATTTTCCACGTCTATTTGTACAAACAACTTTCTATTATCTAAAGTACAACAAAACAAAATTTCTTAATAACAAAACATTTCTATTTGGTATAATCCCTTTTTTTCGCACGGCGACTAATAAAGATGTTTGATAATAGAAAATTATATATTTTTATTAAAGGTAATTGAAAAGAAATGTAAAATATCTTTTAACTTATTTTTCAACATGTTTGTTGTATTACCATATTTTTTATTATCCATAGAAGTTATAAAGTGAAATATAACTGCAATTTTGTTAAAATAAAAGACTTTGAAAAAAAAGTTACGAGTTTGAGTTAAAATTGTTAAAGGATAAGAAAAACTGTTTTTGTTCGAAATATTTGGAAAAAATTATAAAAATTAATTGAAACAGCAACGTTTTGTAACAAATGCAAAAGAGCCATAAAAAAGTTTTAAAGAATGTTAAATTCATTACATAATCTGTGTTTGTTGTAAAAATTAATAATTTGTTGTATTTTTGTAATATTTTATAAATTGCGGCATTTTGACCTATAGATAGTACTTGTGTTTAATTTATTTGTGCGTTTTAGAAATACTCAATAATTTCTTTATTTTGTGAAATAAATGTAATTGTAAAATTTTAACACTAAAATTATAAATAAGTGTTATTTAAATTGTTAGTTAATAAGAATATTTATATATTTTT